CAGAATTCCCCAGCCAGCCTTGGGAATTCTGGGAGTCGAAGTCCACCCATCTTCAAGCGGCCAAGGTTGAGAAACACTGGTGTAGAGACTTCTTATCCAACTCCACACTGTTCAGAACCAAACGTCACTCTTGAAATACAAAAGTTAGATGCCATGGATGGAGAAGAAATAGAGCTACAAACGGGGTATGGGTGTGGTCAAAAAAGTCAACATGGCCCCTGCAACAGTGCAGTGGAAGTTCCCCCTGTTTTTTATGCACCTTAAAAAGAGGGGGTGCTTCGGTCACACCATCACAGCTGCCACCTTGAAGTGTCGGACCACACCCTGTGGACATTCTTGAAGCGTGGGGCTAACATCTCTGGTGGAACCCATCAGCAGCCAACAAAACACTCCACAGATTTCTCAGAAAGAGGTAGCGAGGAACGTGCGCTGAAGACGCCCTGATTTATTCTAGAGTTATTTTCCAAACTGCTTTGAAGTCTTTCAACCACGCAGGTTTTGAGAAACCACGTCAAGCAGGTGACGCCATCATTGGTCCGGGCCAATGGTGGAGGAGCGACCCTTGCTGAGGGTTGGATCCGAGGCTGGGTCACTCGCAGATCCCCGGGGTGGACGCTGGTGAGCGAGCAGGTGGCCCCCTCCAAAGGGCTGCCCCCTCCGGTCTCCTCTGCGCCGCCACGCCACAAGGCCCGGCCCTCTCATAGCAGGAGATGGATGAGAACCCCGGCTATCAAGATGGTGACCGCCAACAGCAGGGCCAGGCCCCGCCAGAAAAGGAGCTCCTTGCAGGACAGGGCCCCCGGGGCTGCAGAAACGATGAAATGGGGCATCTCTTCGGATGGAACAAGCTGCTGGCCCCCGACCCCTTCGCCCAGGTGGACGAGGCTGCTGAGGGCATCTCCGTTGGGAAGCTCAAGTTCCCCCACAAGGTAATCTGCGTGTGGACCACAGGCAAGTGGTTAGAAGTGACAGAGCGAGCCGTGATGCTCACTCTGGGGCACCCGGGCCCTCACGGCCACGTTCACAGGCATGTGGACAATCGGTGGTTCCAGTTGCAAATATTCTGGGGAGCAGGCCTGTTCTGGGGACAAACCAAGCCCCGGGAGAAACAGGAATGCTTTCAACTTGGCACTAAACCAGTGTTTCTCAACCCTGGCAACTTTAAGACATGTGGACTTCAACTCCCAGAATTCCACTCATCTTAAAGCGTGCTGGCTGGGGAATTCTGGGAGTTGAAGTCCACTCATCTTAAAGTTGCCAAGGTTGAGAAACGCTGCACTAAACCATCAACACTACACGGTGCAATGGCTGGATTCGTGCAATGTGCAAAACAGAAGCCAAGTGCACCAGCTTATGGTTTAACAGAGCAACCCCCTACATCACAGGGCATAAAGGCGGAGGCCAACAAGCCGTCTTCCAAGAACCTGCATCGACCAGAATCCATGTTTGCACCATGGAAACTCCCTTGGACATCTTAAAACCCAAAAAGCCATTTTGGTGCAGAGACCCAGGCGTCGGGCTAGAAACCGGGAGACCGGGATTTCTAGTCTGGCTGGGGCACTTTGGGCCAGTCCCTCCCTCTCAGCCCCCCCACCTCACAGGGTTGTTGTTGTGGGGAAAATAGGAAGGACGAAGCATTAGGCATATACACCGCCTTGAATTGACCAAACCTGGAATGTAGTAAATAAATGTGATAAATGTGATAGATAAATAAATAAATAATAAATGTGATAAATAAATAAACAGAACTAAACAAACATAAATGAACAAGTAAAAATATAAATAAATAAATATTAATCAATGAATTAATTAAATAAAGCTTGTAAGAACCAACCAATCCTTTTAAAGGCTCTCCAAAGGTTTTTCACATTCTGGAAAAAAAGGGCTCCCTTTCCAAAACTCCACACACACACACACACACAGAGTAAAGGGATAGGGTTTTTTTCTTTACCAGCCCCAGCCGTGTCATCTGGATGTCCCAGTCTGGCCGTTAGTCCAGCTCGAATCTGAGCCTAGGAGGCAAGAAAGAAAGAAGCGAGCCGAACAAAACGGGTTTTCCAGCCGCCGGAAGCATGTGAGAAGAGGTGGCTGGCACAGCTCGCACTCTGCACGGCGTTCTGATCCAAGCCCGGGGACCCATTGCTCAGCTGGTACTACCGGGGGACGGATTGGCAGGCAGAGGCTTACCTCTTCGGCGGCCTTCTTCCAGTCCATGCACAAGACGACAACCAAAAACGAGGTTGCTTGCAGAGAGATGCAAACGATCAAACCGGTCCACAGGCCTGAAGGGAGAGCAAGGCATTGACTCCAGAGCAGGGTTTCTCAACCTTGGGCACTTTAAGGCGCGTGGACTTCAACTCCCAGAATTCC